ATAAAGGAAGCATGTTAATGGCTTTTTTGCTGACTTAAGACTGATGATTAAGCGTGTTCCTAAACATTTCATATTCAAGCCTTAGGGTCTGCGATTTTCTGACATCTGGGCGGTTCCATCTCGGCAGAGGGGAATAAGTAGCTATTGCAAATTGAGGGCCGCAGACGGTCTTTATGGTCACGAGTATGTTATTCACCATCCCTTGAGGTGTCATAACTAACGAGTCAACAATTGGTTCTGCGACACACCGCCTCGGCCTTACTCGACGCATGCATCGAGACATCGCACATTTTTTTTTCTAGGATGCATTGTCGAAATAGGTCTGTGCAAGGTAGCTTATTGCATAAAGCAAGCGCTGGATTTCTCTGTCGTGGTTGTCTTTTGTGTGCGGACCCGAGAACTGCTCTGACGAGATTGGATGGCGCCCGTAAGTCCCGTATTGGCCGTTTATATGTTTGTTCTCCGGAAACCTTGCTTTTAACTAATCGGTGGATTGAGTAGGAGCTGGCAATGACCAGAATCCGGAATTTCAGTTTTTATGAGAAAGTGACCGCTGTAGATAGGTTTGCCGTCTTATTTTCGAGACAACCAGGCAGTCACTGACTCAACAGTAGCCATCACTTATGTCACGAAGGTCATCCTTGGCGATTACAATTACATACCAGTGACACGAGCGAAGGTGTGTTCAGGTGTTCTTGCGGACAAGCCAAGTGGGGTACAGGGGGCGAATAGATTGGCGCCTACATAAGGTCCCCAAACAGAAAGCAATTGCAATTACAGCTTTTTGCCCCATGACAACCAAATTATTTTTCCCAGGCGATGACGACAGACCTTCCGCCGTACTCAGCTGAATGGTCCCTAAGGAGGGTACATCCAATTCCTGTCGAGTTCAACTGTCTACAAGCAGAGGTGAGTCTTGGTGAGAGCAGCAACGTCCAACTTATGTTTAATTATTTGGGGAGCCACCAGGAGCAACAGACTTTCTGTCTGGTTGGCCACTACCTTGTGTCACAGGTTAACCACATGCCATTCCCTCAATAATTAGTTACATTTCTTTAGGTGCGTTGTAACTCGCCACGAGCAATTTTGCTGTATTCTATGTGGCTGACAGTTTCCTTAAATTACTGTTAACCTTTTGAACTGCGGTTTAAAATTTATAGACAGGAACGTTTTTTCGTTTGGAAATGCTTATACCAGTTGTACCAGTGAAAACCAACGGGTAGAGAGAGAACGCTTAACTACTGATATTCAAAGGCAAGGAGCGCCATGTCTGGTGTTCATTAGCCTGTAGGTAGAATCAATCCGTTTTTGGTCTTTAAGAGGTATAAAAAGTGGATGGACAATCAAATTATGACCAGTTGGACAAAAAAGCAGAAAGAACAACATCTCACCTTCAAAGCGACAATATTTCGTACACCCTGGAAACTGCGTACATAACCATTCACGCGAACGTATGACAGGCGGTCGAGCGATTTAGCCTTGTTGGCATCGGGATTGGAATCCTATAAGTAAGCCAATAGAAATATTTGTATTTACTTCGTCATCGAGAAAGAGTTTAATCTGCAAATATGGTCCAGTGTAGTCGTCGATTTCGTAATCAATACGAGTGGCAGACTGGTTCACGGAACGAATAACGCCGACCAAGGAAACCTATAAACTGTATCAAACAGCTGTTGAACTACCAATGAAAATTCGACGCCTGTGGCCGAAAGGTACTTATCACCTTCCTGTGTCGCCGAAGATATCTCAGCACACGTGCAAGGCATTATGCAATTCTGGCCCACATTTTTCTTGAAAACTATCAAGATCGTAGCAAAAAATGCATACCTTTGCCGAAGTCGCTGCAGTTCCAGATAAAAAGCCCCCGCCAGTATCAGTACTCCCACCATAACCGCTAAAATCCACAGAAGACCACATTTCAAACAAGTCGGGACTGTTATAATACGCGCGATTATAATACCATCACAAAAACCGAAAACAAAGGTCAATCTGTCTGCAATACTAAACAAATTGAACAACAAATTAAAATGTTATGAAAGTTTTTAAAAGTAAATTTAAACGTAGTTTGAGCCTGCAAATGAAGATTTTAAAAAAGTCGTTGACTTCTCATGATATTTGAAGACGCCTGCGTATTTATACGGCTTAGAAATGTGTTTCCCAATACTTTGTCCCTCAAAGTCCTAAATGAGGATAGATTCGGGTAGATTCTGCAGACTTTAAATGTATCCATGTAATCTTCTTAATAGGTACTCCTCAAAGGTTATTCCGATGTACCGGCGTACTGTTTTTACCGATACACTGTACAAAGTGCTGGATCCACTCATCCTCCATTTTGTCTGTGGGCTCTTGGCCCAACTTGCGCGTTGTTTAAATTTATCAATTTTCTACTTTCGTTTGAGCTCGAAATACAACACTTTCCGGTCTTACCACGTGCTCTTCGCTAGCAACTTTCTTGCTAACAACTCTCCACAGCTCAA